AGAATATAAAATCAAAATTATTCTTTATAAAATGGGTAATCTCATAACTTTCGGTGATGCACTCTGTACTTTTGTATGGGAGTTTCAGAGTAAAGCAGAACTTACCAAGGGCTGCATACGTTTCTTTCCAATAGGATATTTATATGGGTTTTGCCTCTTCATGGAGAAAGCCGTAAACCACAATATAAAACCAGATAATAAATCAAGGAGCGAGTCTAATGTTGATGCTACAATTGCCAATGAACCACTCCTAACTGATGCATAAACCTTAGCAGCAAAGAGAATCATGTTTGCAATATTTGATATCCTAATGGCAGTTGTCTCACTTTTGGCCAATTTTTCTCGCTCTTCCTACAAGGGAACCATTAACATCATCCAAAGTTCTATAGATCATCAAGGTCTGTGAAAACCACTGTCCTTGCCTACTTAATACAAATTCAGAAACACTGACCTTTGACATTCCGGGCACAGAACCATTGTCTGCTAAGGAATCCATTTCGCTAAATCCCTCGAGCATTTCAACTTGTTGTTGATAATATTCTGCGACAGTGTCTTCTTCTTCTATGATTATCAAGTTGAGCAATCAAATATAAGCAATAAATTCAGTGATTGAAAAACATGACCTCATAACACAACTCAAATGTCTCAGCTTCTAGTTATATCATGGAAAGCAATTGTTACAAAGGCATGGCAACACAATTAAGGCAAAGAATGAATCACAAGTGCATATGTCTTTTCAGGATCACATCAAAGACTACCTTAATTTAAAAATATCAGATTTAAGTATGGTCACATTTTTTAATGTTCAATAACCTGGTATCAAATTTTAAAATCAAACTTGTTGGTGGTGGTGGTGGGGATAAAAGCCTATGTAACTTAACAACAGTGGATATATGCATCATGAACGGTTTACCTGCACTTTGCCACAGTCAAGGCTATCACTGGGAAATAAACCTATGTATAGAAGAGCAAAAGTTTCTCCTACTATGCATCAGGATCATTAATCTTATTTCCTTCTACAAAAATATAGGCTTTACTGCCTATACAGCTTGTATATAAATACTAAATACCGAGTACAATACATTGCATGTGAGTGTGTCAGTGTGTGTACAAAAGTAAAAGCATGTGTAACCACAAGTGTTAGCTCAAGGTCATGAACCACAAATCAAGCATATTCCATGCAAAACATAAAGACTGAATGTGATCCCTTCACAATTAGCAACTTTATGTCAATCCACAATGAAGAATCTTGTTCTCCTGAAGTTGGACCCACAATCCAACAGATAATAGTGAACATATAACAATCTATTAATTGTGCATCTACAAGCAACAACTCACATGACTTCAAAACTAAATGCCAAGGAAATACGGAAAATGAAAGATTGAGAATGCTCTCTTTGATAGTTTGAGCTATATCATATTCCCCAATAGATACAACAACAAACCCAGTAAAATTGCACGAAGTGGGGTCTGGGGGTTGTGAGTGTATGTAGACCTTACCTTTACCTCGAGAGCAAAGAGTGTTTCTAAAAGACCACGGGCACAAAACAATCCCAACACAGAGCGAATAAAAAAAACAAGTGAAAGGAAAAAAGGAAGAAGAGGAGCACAAAGGAAGCAAGGACATGTGGATACAATAAACAAAGATAGCCCGCGTGACTGCCATAAATTTGACCTAAGAAAATCATCATCAACAACAACAACAAAACCCACTAGAGTCCCAACTCTGTTGGAGGACTAGAAGGTCAGGATACACACAATTGTCCCCTCTGAAAACACAGAATATGTTTCTGTTGCACTTTTGATATAGAATTACTAACCAGGACAACAAAACATTGCCTATATGCTATACAGGGCATCACTTCAGTGTCACAAGATTTCAAAAATCAGTCTAAAGTCTAATAAAAGTCTAAACCACACATTATCTGTCACAGAAAAGAAGGTGGTTAAGGGATAGATACCACCCATCGCATATATACTAAATGCTGATACAATGTAACTAAAAAAAATGAATGAATTTCCCTACGTAAGATGTATCACTTTTGATCTTGTAATAACTATAAATTCCATGATAGGAACGTATAAAAGTGAAATCAGAGGTTAATGCCACTCAATATGTACAAAAAAACATAAAAGCTAACTGGATTGATTGACCTACGATTTTGATATTTCAAAATAATTACAGACAAACAATCCAAGGAACAACTGTTTCTATATCATTAATTCGAAACTTCAGTGATCAGAAATTACAATACATAAGAAAAATGCAGCGATTTATTAGGCGTATGAGAGGGGATGGAAGGGAATTACTTAAAACGCAGAGGCAGCAGTCCTGAAGGCTCCGGCGGGATTTCTCTTTCTTCTCCGGCGTTAGCCGGAATCCGTCGAAATTCAACCGCCATGACCGATCAACGTTGTCGGTCTCCGGTAAGATTAGCCGCTCTTCATAGCCACGGCGATCCGAGACGATTATCGTCTCCACCATTTCCGAATTTCAGCCACGACCGGTCCAGCGGGTGCGTAGGGTGGGAGAGTAAAGGGGAAGAGTGGCGAATGATGTAAAATTAAGTAAAGGGGACAGAATCGAATATCGAAGAGGTCGTTGCAGGGTGGCGGAAAGTTCCTCCCCGGTGGGCCAAGTCGAACGGCCACGGTCGGTGCTAAACTTCTCAGGGGCCTAGGCTCAACGTGGGATTCTAAATACGGTTCAAAATATTTCAAATCGGACAAACGTGCTATGGAAACAGGTTTTCAAGAATGATATTCAAAAAAATTGATTTAGGCGTTACCTACTTGGCAAATGTAAGAAAATATCAAGAAAATGAGTTTCGAGATTGATTTTGGGTAACTGTATTGAGAGATAATTATGTTAAAATCTTTTGAAGTATCAGGTGCAGACTCTGCTCTTTATCACTAGTCTACGATTAAAATTTAATTTACATCACCATTCGATAATGTTTGAGGAGACCTTCAGATATCAGTCTCGCACTTTTTAAAAAAATTGACTAAGACCACAATTGAGCCCTAGGGTATGGAACGAGAAGGGTAATATGGCACCGTGGGACGGAGGAGAACATTGCACCCCTAGCGGGAACGTGACGAGCAGGTTTCTCCTCCCATTTTTTCCCAATTCTTTTCAAGAAAAAGACTAAAATGAGGTAAAATATTGAAAAGATATCAAAATAGAAGATTCATATTTTTATTCACGAAATAGAAGTTAAAATAAATTTACATTGTCAATCATGACCATTTACATTATCAAATAATGTTGTGATATGTCCATATACCGTGCCACATTACCACAATGTGAACTCCTATTTTGATATTTTTTCTATGTTTTACTCCAATTTGGGGTAATTTCTTTTTCTAGTCTGCATGCAATTCTTTTTTTCTTAGCTTTTTCCTTGCTTTATTTGTTCTCGTTTTTTTCTTTCCAGCTTTCTTTGTTTATTTTCTTTGGCCAACCCAAACCATAATACGAGTATTAATAATACAAATAAAATAAGAATCGTAATAAAAATAATACTTGTGACAAGTCAAAAAAAATTAATAATTATAACAATAATAATATTGCTATTATATAAATACGTATGCATATTTCTAATACGAAAAGAAGAAACTTATAAACTTATTTAATCAAATGAATATATTTCATTGTTGCTTATCACAAAATAACAATGATTTTGTTTAAAATACTGATCATATAACACAAAAGGCGTATACATTAATTTTAATTTTTTAAATCTTATTATGAATGCGGTTTGGATTGGCCTGAAGTCCATGAGTATAGTGCGAATCGGGCTCAAAGTTTAATTCTTAGGCTCATAATATAGACCGGACAGAACTTAGAAAATATTCATAATATAGCGTTTCGGTTCGACTCAAAACTCAACTTTTTAAATTGAGCTTAAGAAGCAATTACCATCGCCTTAAAAATTAGGGGGGTGAGCAAACAAGTCCTGGAACCACGGGTCGGAACCCAAGTGCAAGATTCAGGGCGAGTTACGGTCGGTTCCAAAATTTTATCTTTCAAAACAAGCCGGGCCAGAGCAAGTCCTTTAACGGAACAAGTCGGCCGTTTCCTAATATTTAAAAAAAAGTAGAACCGGAATGACGCGTTTCTTATAACTTAATTTAATTACTCCCTCAATCCACAAATAAACTTTCCGTTGCGCGTTACGATATTTGACTGAAGTTATTTTCAAATCATTTTATATGAAAAATGATGTAAAATTTAAAAATAAAAATTGCATATTAAAAGACTATATAAAAAGATCTAAAAAACTAGAGGTGACATGACTATATGTCTATATTATTTTATTAAATGGATGATGAAAATAAGCCAATAAAGTGAATAAAGTTTGACCCTGTGAATAATGAAAGAAAAGTTTATTTGTGGACGGAGGGAATATAAATATACAAACTAGAGTATTACTTCCTCCTTCTCATTTTATAACGTCTGTTTCGGTTTACGATGTTTGACTGACATTATTTTCAAATCATTTTATATGATAAATGGTACGAAGTATATAGTTAAAAAAAATAAAAATTACATATTAAAATACTACATCAAAAGATATACAAAACTAGTAGTGACAATATTATTTTATTTTATCAAATTGCTAACGAAAATTGAGTAAGAAAGTGAATGAAGTTTGACCCTGTGAATAATAAGCAGACACTATAATTTGGGATAGAGGTATAATTTGGGACAGAGGGAGTAATAAATTAAAGTATACTCAATATTGAATTTTTAGTCTTTTTGTCAAATTGAATTTTTAGTTCTACTCCGTATATGCCATATTTAGGCCTTGTTTGGATACTAGCAGTTGACAGTTGGCACTTGGCTGTTTATGTTAACTGATTTGAATGGCTTATTGAGTTAGCTGTTTTGACCAGCTATTTCTGTTAGCAGTTAAATTTTAAGTGTTTGGCAACTTTAGCTGTTTATAATTAGCTGTTTGTAAATAAAATTACATAAAAGGACATCTCTCCATTTATGGTATATTTTATTTTACAAATTTTTTTAAATATCATATCATAAATATATTTTTTTAAATTAAAAAAATTAAATAAAAAATTATATATATATATATACATACACACACACACATGATATTTATTTTTCATTTTTTTACATGTAAAAATTTAATCTTTACTATATGGAATATTAAATTTTAATTTCATTTAATTCATAATAAATTATAAATATAAATTTTTTAATGAATTATAAATATAATTTTTTTAATTTCATTTTATTTTTTTGTATTTAATGTTTTTAACTTTTATTTTTATTTTTACATATATTATAAAATATCTTTCAACAAAAATGATTTTAAAAAAATTATTTTTCCTAACCGCCAAGTCCAAATGCTACTCACCTTGGCATTTCAGATTTTGGCTTTTCGGATTAAAATGCCAAGTGAAAAAATCATTAGCCAAACAATGGTTTTGGCGGTTCGCTTGGTCAAAAAAGCCAAAGTCAGTCAAAGATGCCAAAAGCTATCCCAAATATTGTTTTCCAACCACGGCTTAATGTCAGTCAAACGCTCCACTCTACTCCAAAACAGTCTCACTGCCAAATCATTCTCCCCACACGACCATGGCCATCTTATCCTCATTCCATGGTTTCCTCCTTTTCTTCCTCTTCTTCGCCCTAGTCAATTCTCGTAAGCTGAACCTCCACACCGCCGAGCTGGATGAATCCCTTACCTATTTATGGCCGTTGCCGTCTGATTTCACCTCCGGCAACGAAACTCTCACCGTCGATCCCAATCTCTCCCTCTCACTCGCCGGAAACGGCGGCAGCTCTGGCATCGTCAAAGAAGCGTTTGAGCGGTACAAGAGCATTATATTCAAGCATCACTCCAAGCTGTCTAGGTCCGGTGATTACGATATTAACCAGCTCAGTATTACTGTCCACTCCGACAACGAAGAGGTGAAGATTTTTTCTGCAATTGTTTTGAGTACTTTTCCTTTTCCATTCTTGACGGTCAGTTAATCGGTGATTCGGAACTTGAGCAGCTACAACTCGGTGTGGATGAGAGTTACACTTTGATGGTGGCGAAAAGCAACGAGCTTTCGATTGTTCCAGGAATTTCCATTGAGGTTATTTTCAAGTTCCCCTTTTTTTTACCTTTTGCGTTGATTTGATGAGTGCTCTTTGGGTTTGAATCTTCAATTTGTTACTCCCTCCTTCCTAATCAGTGTTCAGACATTCACTGTATCCAAATCCAATCCAACATTTTCACTATGAATTCTTCAATTTATATTCTCAAACTACATTTCATAATGAATATAATGATATGGATTATTAACGTTAGGTCATAGCTCAATGAATTCTTAATGCAAATCATGTTCAGTTTTTATAAATTTGACCGCAAAATCCAAAGTGTGAACATTGATTAGGAACTGAGGGAGTAGTTTTACTCCTCTTTTTTTCTGGTTACCATAGCCTGAAATATGGAAACTCCCATACTTAAACTTTTTTCAATTTAACTTCGGTTTCTTTCTATCATTGCACAGGCGAATTCGGTATATGGCGCTGTTCGGGCATTAGAGGTATGAACTTTGACAGATATGGTATACTATGTAGTATGTACTGATTACTAAGATTATTCAAGTATAATAAGATGAATAATAAGCCCCTATCAATGACTTACATTCCCTCTCCCAGACAATGAGCCAGTTGTGTGCTTTTGATTATGTGGCTAAAGCCGTGCAAGTACAGAAGGCACCTTGGTTGATCAAAGACAGGCCGAGATTTGTGTATCGTGGTTTATTACTTGGTATGTAAGATAAACATTATGCATACATAAGCCTCTTTTGAGTTGTTCTTTTTTTATTTATGTTGTTGGATTATACCAGATGGTTATGAATCTGTAGAGGATTCCATGCATTGTCTTCTTCTGAATTTTGTTGAGTTTCTCATAAATGATTCTCCTTTTGCAGACACTTCAAGACACTTTTTGCCTATTGAAACGATCAAGCAAGTCATCGAATCCATGTCATATGCTAAACTTGTAAGATAAATAATCTGCTGCGTCGACGGGTTCTTTGAATTTATGTTGAATTTCTGAAATTGACTATTCAATTCAGTAGAATGTTCTTCATTGGCACATCATAGATGAAGAGTCCTTTCCTCTAGAAGTGCCTACGTATCCTAATTTGTGGAAAGGGGCATACACAAAGATGGAGCGCTATACTGTTGAAGATGCTTCTGACATTGTCCAGTAAGATTTCTAATTTTTTTCCCGTATTTTTCTCCTATTCATTTTGTTGGGTTTCTTTTAAATGGAGGAATGCCATTTCTATAAAATCATTTCGTTCCATTTCCGACTTGTTATAGTTAATGACACCGAACAATATCTCCTGGATTTTTTATATCAAATATTAATTCTTTTTTATTTTGCATTTCATGTTTTTATCCATGGTCTAAATTGAAGCTTTGCAAAAATGAGAGGTAATTGACATCCTCATAATCTCAAGATGGTAACTTCTATCCCAATGTTAACTTTAGAAACACAATCATTACAGGCATCAATATTATGGCAGAGGTAGATGTACCTGGTCATGCAGAATCATGGTGAGTATTTTAAAGTAAAATTTCCTCCTAGATTCTTTTTAATTTTCTTCTCCAAAACTCCAAGGCAAATTGAAATCTTTAATATGGTGAATTTACATGTGAATCTTTTTATGTTCATGAGACTCGAAGTTCTTAAAATGCGTAGTTTAGTGTCTACTTCTTACGTATAGCCATATAGGCAGTAAGCACAACCGCCCAAGTTTTTGACGAGATGCACTTTTTGGCCGATATATTTCCATGTGTGTAAGGTTGCAAACATTCAAAATTGAGTTTGCTTTTGATTGTTTGAATAAGCTTTCTTGTGACAAAATGAAACATTGCATTGAAAATATGAATTGAGTCCGTCATACATTTCCACCATTATTGATGCTTTCAGCACATAATCAAGGCTATTTTTTATATGTTTTTCCATCATCTCCGATGGAGCCAAATTTTCACCATTTTTTTGGCTTTGGGGTGTGATGGAATAAATCAAAATGGATCTCTAAACTGTCTGCGCTTCTTTAATTAATGAAGTAGCAGTTAGTCAAGCAATGCAACTTTCGACGTTGAGCCGGGGTCTCTTTGGAAACAGCCTCTCTACTTTCGAGTAGGGGTAAGGTCTGCGTACACACACCCTCCCCAGACCCTACTCTTGTGGGATTTAACTGGGTTGTTGTTGTTGTTGTATTGCAGGGGTACAGGATATCCTGATCTTTGGCCTTCACCGACATGTAGAGAGCCTCTGGATGTGTCGAAGAACTTTACGTTTGATGTAGTATCAGGAATCATAGCAGGTTATACCCATTGGTTTCCTTGAAAAGTTTAACACCTCAGTCTTATATTCTTTATATGTCACGGCCTCCTTTTTTATTTGCACTTATGACCTGTTGTTTCATTAATTTTTTTGCGAAATAATAATTCATGATTTCCTATTTGAGGTTTGAATATGTATCTCGTGAGTTAAAACACCTAGGCACTTACTGGGTATAAATGTGAATTTCATTCAGATAAGCCATGGATATAATCAACATACATGCAAAGAGATTGCTTTAACTTTGAGTGAAGGCTATCAATGCTTGCATGACATCCTATAATCGCGTACATAAAATTTCAAACCATTGCATTACTTTCTTAATACACGACAATAGACCTTTACAATGAGTTCTTTGTCATCATATTTACATTATTTAGTTATCACTTATCACTATATGTGTACATGGAGTTATCTTGTATCATAATATGGCTACCCCTCTCTTTATTTATAATATCTCCTCTTAATACTACTTTGGTGGTCTAATTATGGGATGAATACTGGGTTGAAGTACCTTATCGGCTTATCCTAACTTCCTACACCTACTCTACTCTTCCCATCTTAATTGTTTTTCTTGCCTTGCTTCTCTCTTGTACAATTGTACTTTCTATTCAGTACACTGTTTAATATCTGTTAGTAGTGATGCCATCTTCCTATCTTTTTAAATAATATACGAACTAATAAAATCTTAAGTTTCCTCCTTTTCTAGAATTTCATGATTTATATCATGAGCGTGGGATTTGAGACGGCCGGATTTTTAGAAAATAGAAGGAGCATTAAATCATAGTGATTATACTATTATAGTTATCATATCCTTATGTTCTGTCCTTCACCTGATTGTGAAACTGGCAAGTCATATCTATTCTTGCAGACATGAAGAAGATTTTTCCATTTGAGCTTTTCCACTTAGGCGGCGATGAGGTCCATACAGGTTTGGCTGTACATTATGCAAGCTGTTTGATTTGGTCATACATGTCATTTTGCTTCCTTGTCCCTTGTACACACACACACGCACACACACACACAACTAAATATGTATTGCCGGTAATTGAATAACTGTGGTTCTGTATCATGTTTAAGCAGGAAGATTGTGATTATTACATTGTCATTGCCTTTACCTCTTGGAAAGAGGGTAAATAAAGTGAAAAAGAAACAGATATGGAAAATGAAGGATATTGTTCTAAACATGTATATACTTTTTTGCAGATTGTTGGAGCTCCACTCCGCATGTGAAGCAATGGTATGTTCCTCTCACATCTTGCCCATCATGAAGTTCTGTACAACTGGTGTTCAGAATGCTGTGAATTTATAGGGATAGGATGTTGAAAATAATTCTACCATAATACAATTAGAACTATATTTTAGCAATCACATATCTTTGCGACCACATTATCAAGTGCATTCTTAATTGGTGTAGAGAACACATGCTTATGCATGTTCCTGTAAACTGTGCTTTTTAAAATACATTCCCCTCATTTTGTCACTGATATTTCTGTTTGTACACAAGAGTTTCAAGTTTCAACCGCCATCAAAGCAATTTATATGTTCCATATAAATTGTGAAGGTGAGTTTGGACTTGGCGGTCTTAAATTTCTTTGAGGACATACCCTTAATTAGGAGTCCTCGCAGGGTGTGCGTGTGCGTGTGGGATTTATTTGGGTTTCCCTGTATACAAAGATGTCATATATGTAGTCTCATTGTCTGAAGTATGAGATCTGTGCAAATGGTTACCTCTTATGTGATTTTTATTATAAGTTTATTAAATGTTTACATTCGTTTATTAAAAAAACTATGTATCATACTTGCAGGCTTAAGGATCGTAACATGACTGGTAAGGATGCATATCAATATTTTGTGCTCAGAGGTCAAGAAATAGCAATATCTCAAAACCGGACACCTGTTAATTGGTATGCACTTTGTATTTGCCTTTCATAAAAAAAGAATATTACAGAGTATTTGAAAATGCAAGTGGGTTTTCTTTTTTGCAGGGAAGAAACCTTTAACACATTTGCCTCCAAACTCAACCCACAAACAGTGGTGCATAACTGGTGAGTACAGAGTGGACTTATGATCAATCTCAAACCACATTTTGGTCTTCCTGGTCCGCCACAATCAGATTTTTGACCATAATAATAGTAATATATGACTGGTGTAGGTTGGGACCTGGTGTCTGTCCGAAGGCTGTTGCCAAAAACTTTAGATGCATTTATAGCAACCAAGGCATCTGGTATCTCGACCATTTAGATGTTCCCTGGGATGAGGTTTACTTTGCAGATCCATTGGAAGATATAAACGACTCTGAACAGCAAAAACTCGTGCTGGGAGGCGAAGTGTGCATGTGGGGCGAAACGGCTGATGCCTCAAATGTTCAAGAAACCATATGGCCACGAGCTGCAGCAGCTGCAGGTTAGGATTCATCTTATTTAGGCCTTGTGTGGAGCAACGTTTTGTCAAGCTAACTAAACATGTACCCATTTGTTTTTTTTTCCTGCTTAGGGGGTCTTGTAGTTAGTTTTTCAACCAAATATTAAACTATTATAGAGTATATGAATAAATTTTAACACATTTAATTTCTTTCACATTGCAAGTGCTTTGTGAGGTTTGTAATGATTTGGGGTTTTGGTTGTAGAGCGTTTGTGGAGCTACAGGGAGAGACGGTCCTTGACGCAGAATGAAACAGCAGTTGCGCAGCAGAGGTTGGAGTATTTCAGGTGCCTCCTGACAAGGCGGGGTGTTCAAGCCGCCCCCGTTACAAACTCTTATGCACGAAGCCCTCCAACAGGTCCAGGGTCATGTTATGAGCAGTAGTTTGTCTTTTGTTTTGGCTATGAAATGAAATCCATGCTTTGATCTTCTTCCCAACTACATATGGATGTCATGTGTATTTGTCCGGAGTGTAATAAGGATTTAAAAGAACTCATTCACAAAATTCAACAATCTTTAAATTAACAACGTGGTGTGATTTACTCATTTTTGTTTGTTTAACAACCAAAATAAAAAGCGTGTCAAAGTATGTTGAAACGAATAGACAATAATATTGCACATCTAATTATGGCCTTGTTTGGGAGGAGTGTTTTCAATTAACTTTACCGTCTTGGATAAAATATTAGTGGTGTGGATTAAAATGGAAAACGTTAACGCTAAAGGCTACCGTCAGATGATTTTTTCAAAACGTTAACGCTAACGCTGATGCCAAATGGGACCAATATAACACACGCTCTATTTAACACAGTCAACAATAATCTTTTTTTTTTTCAAATTTTGTTTTCTCAAGTCATTGTGATTAGGAAGAACAAAATGTGGAAAGATTTTAATGTACTCTCGCTCTCTCAATTTAAATCGTCTGTTTTAGTTTATGACGCTCGTCTCAAGTTATTTTCAAATTGGTGTACAATAAAAAAAAATTATATATTTAAGAAATTACATCAAATGATCTACAAAATTAGTGGTGATATGATTGTATAATCTTATCAAATTACTAATGAAAATAAGAAAAAAAGTAATTTAAGAAATAAATTACTAATGAAAATAAGAAATAAAGTTTGAAGTTGTGAATGATAAAGTAATTTAATTTAGGACGAAGAGAGTATAAAATTCGGTCTGAGATTATTTTTTATTCATTGAGATAAGTAGATAACAATGAATTATATATTTCTATCTATTTTTTCTTTCCACTAAGACAAAAAAAAATAATGCGTTCTTTATCCAATTTTTTTTAAGATGGCTTCTTCGTCGCATAGAAATTAAGAAAAAAATATTATTAAAATTGATATTCGATAATGCAAGGAAAAGTTATAATGAGTGTGTCACAAAAGTATTAATTCCTCCATCCTAAATTAAATTGTTTGTTTATTATTCACATACTCAAACTTTGTTCACTTTCTTTTTATATTTTTACTAGTCATTTGATTAAATAATGTATTCATGTCATAACTAGTTTTGTAGATTTTTTGATGTAGTTTTTAAATATATTAAGAGTGTCGTCCTTTTTTGAGAGGGAGATCGAGAGCAGAGTGCTTCTATGGTGCACTTTAAGTGAATATCATTTTTGTGGAACTTTTAATATAATTTTTTTATTAAAAAATATTTATTTAAATAATAAAACATGATTATTTTACTTGCTCATATTATGAGGGAGTAATAAATACTACCTCCGTTCCTGAGTATTTGTATAGTTTTGATTTTTTCGGTCAACTGTTTTCAACATTTGACCTATAATTAAATAAAATATATATTATATTTTAATTAAATAAAATAATATTTAAAAAATATTTAATATAATAAATCTAATAAAACTCTATTTGTATCAATATCTAATACTATTTTTATTTAATTTAATGTCAAAGTTTACAAATTTTAATTGAACGGTCATTTTCGGCACACACAACTCATCAATGCTCTCGTGCGTCGGCCATATTTAAGGGATTCTGATCTTATTTTTGCTATTATTAATAGTATTATTATTATTAATTATCATATCATAGGGTAGACTGTTGTAGAGAACTCGATCTGGCTTGACGACGTAGGCGCGAGGCGGCGATCGAGGATGAGTTTGAAGCTGTTCGTGGACAGAAAGGCGGGCAGAGTGGTGTATGCCGAAGCCAACAAAGACTTTGTGGACTTGTTGATATACCTCCTCTCTCTGCCTGTCGCCTCCCTTTCCAAACACCTCCACAACGCCTCCGCTTGCTCCCTCGGAATCCTCCACAAAAGCGTCATGAGCCTCAGCGACGCCTACATTCATCCGACCAAGGTCAGGGGCTCTGTTTTCAAAGAAAATGAATCTCTATTGTCTTCCTTCACGCCTTACCTCTTGCCCGGCGACCTGTTCACCGGCACCAACACCGGAAGCCGTGTGTCTATTGTCGCCGATATGGCCTCTGGATATGTGAAAGAGGCTGTGACGTATATGGTGACGGATGACTTGCAAGTGAAGCCACACTCTACTTTGAATGCCATTGACATGATGAAGTTGTTTGGGATCAAGGACTTTTCCTCCCTTGAGGAGGTCTTGGATGCTACTTTTGGACGTGATGAGGTACTATTCCTCCTAAAATTAACTTTTCATTTGATTTTTTACGGTCTCCAAGCGACACTTTGAACATTAATATCTCAAGTTTTATATATATATATATATATATATATATATATATATATATATATATATATATATATATATATATATTATTTATAAAAGTGATGTTTATTAATGGGAAAGAGGGGGGGAGATACAAAAGAGGGAGGACTAGACCAAAGCCCTCATAAAGGAAACAATACTATCCAAAACAGGTGGATAGCAATAGAAAGTGAAAAGATAATTTAAGAGGACTAGGATGGGTTGTGGTTGCCACGTCTTCCGCGTCTTCCACGCCCCCTCCCGCAAGTATTTTGGCCACGCCCTGCATATGGAACACGACCACTGCGCGTCTGGATCGTCACGTCAGGAGGTTCTCCTTTATGGCGGATTTCAATGGTTGGAGTTTCAGGATCGCTCTCTTCATGAGTTTCATTTTCATCATGGTCTTGAAGGACTTCGACTTCGAAAAGATTGGCATCGTCAAGTTTTGGACCTATACCTTGTATTGATTGAAATGGAGTTTTTGGTTGCATGAAGTTGAGTTGTTGGTGCCCTCGTTTCAGTTCTGCAATTTGCTCCGTGAAGCTCAATTTTTGGAATTCTTGTAACGAAGGGCTGCTTCGTTGTTCAGTGACCTTGATATACCTGCAAAAAGACCTAGGCTCAGAAGAAATGTTAGTATTCCCCTCCTGGGTGTGGGGTGAAACCGGTTCTGCCTCGGAGAGAGCATCCTTACCGGCCTCGTCATCTTTTCCAGCATGAACTTTGGTGTGGGTAGATGGATCAGATAAAGCATCATCATTTCCAATGGGAGGGACCGTAGTGTCTGATGGAGTGCCATCCGAGGACTCACGGTGAGTCTCGTGTGCTCTCATATTTTCATCGGTATGATTTGGGTCATAACCATCATTTTGAGATTGGGGGAGGATCTGGGGTGACAAATTCTGTTCAACGGGGTACGAGGGTCCTTCTTTCGTGAATTCAAGCTCACATGGACCAGTCAGTAATGGGCTGTCTTTGGTATCTTGGTGTTGAGCACATTCCAAGTAGGAGGCATCCAAATTAGCATCTGTTGGGAGGGACAAAGGAGTACTGTCCAAACCTGTAAGGGGAGGGCCATTTAAAGTCAAGTTGGCATTAGTTATAGGGGCCAAAGCAGTACTGTCCAAACGTGGTGGAGGACCATTCTTGCTCATTGTAGGGCATGGCCCTATGTCCTTTGTTGTGACGTACTGGTGACCAGTTTCAAAGCTACCAAAAGTAATGGGGGTAGTAGAGGTTGGCACAGCTGCGCTGCTAGGAAAACACACCTGCTGGCCAGGGGCCACAGCCTTGCCTCTTGGCTTGGTTTTCCTAACCCAGCGAGAGTTTCTGGTTCCTGATTTGCAGGACTTGTGACCCAATTGATGGCAGGAGTTACAATAGGATGGCAGATTTTCAAAAAGAAGGGATTGAAGGTAGGATGAGCTACCTAAGTGTATCCAAATAGCCTTGGGAAGTTCCTTTGAAAGGTTAACCTCCACACAGACTCTGGCCACATTAGGCCTACTCAAATTCACAGTGGCTGCATCAGTTTGCAGTGGAGAGCCAAATAATTTAGCAATGGAGAAAAGGGTGGGTTTGTCAAAGAGATGGATTGGCAGTCCCTCTAGCCCTACCCAAACTGGGACTAGAGGGGATTCCACCGAGGGGTCGAAATCTGCAGTCCATCGGAAAACTCGCATATAGGAGGAACCAATATTTCATCGGTTTCTCAATAAACAACGGAGAAAATCAGTTTCAGATTCAAATTGCAGCAAAACATGAGAATCATCAAGTAATCCCAATTTAAACGAATCTGAGAATCCAATTTTCTCAAGGGTCTTACGGATTAAAATAAGAGGAGGCCTTTTCTCGTTGAAGCTACCGACAAGGGATCTGCGAAACTTACCTGATAATATATGAATCTCCTCATCAGAGAATGAAATCGAGGGCAAACCCTTGAATTTCGCCGGCGGGTGTTGGGGGGAACCAACATCAGCGAAGGAACGAAAGTTATCCGACATCGCTGAAGAGTCAGAGACGCCATCGCCGGTGGAAAGGAGCTATAGAGAGAGAAAAGAACGCCATTATATATATATATATATATATAATATATATAATATATATATATATATATATATATATATATATATATATAAAATATATAATATATATATATATATATATATATATATATATATATATATATATATATATATATATATATTATACGGAGTAAAAATTATACTCCCTCCGTTTGGAAAAAGTGTTCCTATTTTGACTTTGTGTAAAAATAAGGAAGTATTAAATTGTAGTTGACTTCCAATTTTGTTCTTGATGTGATAGGTAAAAGTAAGATGTGATGGATAGATTATTAGATATAAAGTATGATGTGATAGGTAAGGTATGAAAAAGTAAGGGTAAAAGTGGTTTTTTAATAGAAAGTGGAAGTGTTTTGTTGGAAGTAAAAAAAATGAAAGAGGAAGTGTTTTAAAAAACGGAGGGAGTATATTTCAAAACTATATTCTAAAATGAATCTATTCCCAATAAATTTATATGAAAATTCAATGTATTTTTTTCTTAATCTACGGTCAAAGTTTAAAAAGTTTGACTGCAAAAGTCAAATTAGGAAATTAATTTTAGAACGGAGGGAGTATGTATTGAGTAGGTTATTAGTGAAAAAGCATGAATTAATACTCCCCCCGTCCCCCTGTATTTGTCCACTTTCATTTTTACACACCATCCAATGCACTTCTTTAATCCATTTTATCTTGTAATTTGTATATTAAAAAATTATAAAAATTATATATTAATAATCTATATGTTAAGACAAATTAAACAAGATCATACATGACTAGATTTAGACTTTTACATTGAGAGAATTTGATGAGTCAAAGTGCTAAGATGAACAGTTCTAAAAGTCAAATGTGGACAAATACAGGGGAACGGAGGGAGTAAGTAAGATTGGAAAAACAAGATAAAATTGATTTTTTAGTAGGACGTGGAAGTATTTTTGAAAAGCAAACAATGATAGAAGAGTTGTTTTAAGAAAAGGAGCTAGTGAGTAATTGTTACTATGACGACGACAGGCTCTGAAGCTGCTGAATGCTGCGTTGACCTCTACATCGGTTCTCACTGCTGTGTTTCTCGCTCCAAAGGAATCTTTATCGATCGACCAAATGGAATATATATATATATATATATATATATATATATATATATATATAGGGGCTGGATCAAGTGAGAATGCACCTTGGTGAAAGAAATAAGAATAAAATCTGGCCTTTAGATCTGATGCATCATGCGGCTCAGATTGCATCCTGCGCTCATATTTTGAGATAGTGCATTTTCAAAGGTTTTTGGTGCATTTTGACATGATGCATTTTCAAACCATTTTGGTGCACCTAATTTTGATGCAATCCTAACCCTTAAATCTCACAATCTAAAGCACCAAATTCATTCTTATTTCTTTTATAAGATCGCATTCTCACCTGAACCAAAATCTATGTATGTATATATATATATATATATATATATATATATATATATATATATATATATATATATATGTATCCATTTATCAAACTTGAGGAGGAGAACTTTCTTTATTTCACATCTCGTGTTCTGTTTTTTATTATCATGTCCTTGTTATTGTTGTTTGTTTTGCTCCATGAATATGGCATATATCCTCTATGTTAAATACTAAAGTCACAAAAACTTTGGTTATAAAATACACAAACTTTCCATTTATGCACCTCACCAAGTGAATAAAATAATGATAAATAATAAAAAAGTAGATATTTAAAGACATAAATTGTAAATTTGTGTATTTTTGTGACCAAAATATTTGTAAATAATTAAAAAGTAGACATTTAAATACATAAATAGTAAATAATTTAAAAGTACACATTTAAATGCCCAATGCTTTTATCATTTTCTAGGAATATGCGTGCCCTTTTTCTGAAATGAATTGCCTTATGAATAATGAGGTGTTTATTCTCACCCCCTTCTCTCTCTCTCTTCCCTAATTTTCTAAAAGTAAAATTTGTATTAAATAATACAAAAATATAAGTCATTTTTTAATATAAGACTTAAACTTTGAGCAATTTATCTAAATTGGACTAAAACATAATGATTTTTTCAATATAGGAATATATGTTTTTATTTCTTAATGTACGACTTTTGATCATTATTTATTAGTCATTATTCAACTAAATGCCCAACATCATTTGATATTCTTATTGTTAGTCATTATTAAGTCTTATTTAGTAAATAAAAAAGTTTAAGTCCTACATTGGAAATGACTTATGTTACGTTTTAGTCTTATTCCGTACAAATTTCACTTGTTATTTTAACAACGTTCAAAATAAAACAGTTTTTAAATTTTAGTCTATAAAATTGAAAAGAGAAATTAACTTGACAAGGTGTTACGATACGAAATATACCTTTTATAATTTCTCAATAAAAAATGAGACACAAAAAAAGTTTACACAAAAGAACTGTTTAAAATTTAAAAACTGTTTTATTTTGAACGTTGTTAAAAAAACAAGTGAAATTTGTACAGAATAGGACTAAAACATAAATCACTTCTCAATGTGTACTTAAACTTTTTTATTTTCTAAATAGGACTTGATAATGACTAGCAATAAGAATAATGTCAAACGATGTTGGGTATTTAGTTAAATAATGACTAATAGATAATGATCAATGGTCGTACATTGAGAAATAAAAACATATGGTTCTTTTAATTTATCTAAAATCTCTTTAAAAGAGACATTAATTTTGAAATTAACCCAAAAATGTCTTTTAATTTGGGAAAAGTATGTTTACCTTTTATAATACCCTCTATCCATTGGAATCAAATTACTCTCTCTGTCCACCATAGATCTTTCTAGACATTATTCACAGGGTCAAACTTTTTGTTTATTTTTACTATTCATTTTGTAAAATAATAAAATGTTGTCACTTCCGGTTTTGTAGAACTTTTAATATAGTTTATTACTACATAGATTTTATATTAAAAATTTTACTCTTATATTCAAATAAATTGAATTGAAAATAAAATCAATTAAGTCTCATAACACACAATGAGAAAACATTACTCCGTAGATGGAAGGAGAGAGTATTTCTCAGAGAAAGTATAATCGCCTTTTTTTTGGGAAGCTAAAAGAATTCCTTCCTTTGGCGTTGCTCTAACTGCTTTGGAGGAATTTAATTCGTCCGGTTCAACGCCAGACATGCGTAGTTCGAATTTGGACATTAATTTAGCACTGACCGCATTTGAATTTGGATCGACGACGGTCCCGCCGCCCGATCATTATACCCCTGCATGCAGCACGGAGTTTTTTTCATTAGTTAGCTTTTATCGACACTGGCACGCCCGTTCGAATACCTTATTTGTTACGGATTATTAACACTTCTCCCTCTATGCCCACCAATGAAAAAAAAAAAGTATTTCTTCCTCAATCCTCGATCACCGCCAATCATCTCTCCAACAATGGCATCAGAGGCTTCCCCACCGGCAACAACGGTGAGCTTGAAGCTACTCATCAACAAGAAGGCCCAAAAGGTGGTCTTTGCGGAAGCGGAGAAACCGTTCGTGGATTTCTTGTTCTACATCATGTCTTTACCCGTGGGAACCGTCATCAAACTTGTGACCCAGAAAGCCATGGTGGGGTCCCTCGGAAATCTCTACGGCAGTATCGCTGACCTCAGCGACACCTTCCTTCAACCTGGGACCGACAAGGACACCTTGCTGAACCCGAAAATGCCAGTTCTGTCCACCGATGATGTCCCACTCCTCATGCCGCCTGCCGGCGCCGGAAGAGGCCCTTCTTCAGAGAGGAAGAAGGTTTATGTATGTAGTAGAGCGTACAACGGTAATTGCCGCAACTATGGGCGGTACACAGATGACCCGGATACAACGTGTCCCAGCTGTGGTGACGGGTACTACATGGACGCCGAGGGGAGGTACGTAGCGCCGCCGAACACGGCGGAGGCGGCGTCGTCAACAAGGGCTGAAGGCGGTGGGTACGTGAGAGGAGTGGCGACGTACACGGTGATGGATGACCTGAAGGTGGTTCCCCATTCGTCCATTTCTACCATTACCGCACTGAATGAGAACGGGGTTAAGGATTTTGGTTCCCTTGAGGTCAAACTTGTCCAATTGGGTGTTGATGAGGTACTCTTCCTAACTTCTCCTTTCTTTTTTTTTTCTCACAAAATTATTTCTTTTTTTATTAAAAAAATTATTTTTATCCCTTTTAATTTTTAACTTACTTATTAACTTATACCTTTTCAAAAATAATTTATCATCAAATCTTATTTTTATCTATCACATTAATGATATTTTTTAAAACTCAACTCAAAAATATCCCTTTTTTAAAATCAATATGAAAAGTAATTCACAATGTGCATTGATGGTCAAATATATTTGACATATCATCAAGGAACCGACTTAACCAAAAGCTCAACCTTGCGGTTATTGCCAATAAAGACTTTTAATGCTGTAACACGTATACTTTAACTTAAATTTATGATTTTGGTCTCAATATTTTAAGCATTTTATTTTAATTACGTAGAATTAAATATTTACAACAGGGCATCCCTAGGTATGTTCTCCTTTTCAATTTAAATCATCTGTAATACTCCCTCCGTCCACCTAAGATCTTCCCATTACGCGTTACGAGGCTTGACCAATTTTATTTTTGGTTCAATTTAATTGATTATAGGAGTAAAATTTTAAAATAAAATTTATATAGAAATAAACTATATGAAAAGTTCTACAAAACTAGAGGTGACAAGGCTATATTATTTTATGAAATGACTGGTAAAAATGAGCAAACAAAGTAAGTGAAGTTTGACCCTGTGAATAGTGACTGGGAAGATCTATGGTGGACAGAGGGAGTACTATGGAGTATTTTAATCATTTAGTTTAGTAAAATTTGTACTAAATAAGACTAAAATATAATGACTTTCACAATGTAGGACTTAACTTTTTTTGTTTCTTAAATAGAACTTAATAATGACCTAGTGGGAAGAATAATGACTTAGTAATGATGGACATTTACTTGAGTAATGACTACTTGTTAATGACCAAAAGTCCTACATTGGGAAATAAAAACATATGGTCCTATATTGGAAAATTCATTATGTTTTAGTCCTATTTAAGTAAATTTCTCTTTAGTTTATTAGTGTGCATTGCTCTTATTAAAGAATGGCTAAAACTTAATATGTCCAGATTTTGTCATCAACAATTTATATGTATGTAATGTCAGGGGCTAAAGTTGTTGAAGGCTGCTTTGCAAACTGATTCCGTTCTTACAACGGTTTTTCTTTCCAAGTGAAGTCGGCGCAAATATGAATGTGCATCATATCATATCATATCCATGTATGTGCTGGGAATTGAAGTACTATGTGTTTTGAACTTTGATTTTTTTGCTTTTAACTTTCGAGCATGTGTGTAGTGTACCATTTATATATGGTGCCTGCGCAGCCTTCTTTTGTATCCCTTGTTGGACGTAACAATCCCTTTTTGAACAAGTATGTTGTTGGATTTGAACAATCCCTTTTTATCATTGAGAGGTTATATTTTGGTCTCATTTATGAACCTATATATGACTTGAATGCATTTTCTTTTTACCATATAATTTCTTGCATATAAGTTAGGAGTATAATTAATTCCTCGAAAATAAATGTCATATTCCTAGGCAACTATAGTAAATAAATGTTGTTGCTCGCCTAACTACATAACATGAAAAATAGGATATATATTTCATATATATATATATATATATATATATATATATATATATATCTAGTTGCTTGTATTAATCCTTTTGTCCCTGAAAACTTTTTTTTTCTCAATTTTTTTTTCCATTTCTATTAAAAATTCATTTTTACCCCTAATAATTTTTAACTTACCTATCATATCACATTTATTTACTATTAATCCATTAATTAAATCCTACTTTTACTCATCACATTCAAGGATATTTTTAGAAACTCAACATTAAAATACATTTTTCTTAAAATTCTTAAAAATCACAACATCCATATATTTTGGGACGAGGGGAGTATTTCATTGCTTCTAATGTTTAGCTTTTACTATAGTGCCATCTATTCATAGATTATGCGAAATGCATTGTAGCTTATAGTCTATAAATTGGAAGCTACATTGGAGATGTGAAATCAGCACACTAACAGCTATATCGTCCAAATTTTAGTCTTCGGCTTTTGTGTTGGAGTTGCTCTAAAGATTCCTTACTAAAGTCTAAATATGAAATATGAAATAAATAGAAAAAATTACCCAAATATGACTAAAACATAATGACTTTCTCAATATAGGACCATATGTTTTTATTTCCCAATGTAGGACCTTTGGTCATTATCAAGTAGTCATTATTCAACTAAGGGGCTGTTTGTTTCAGCCTCTTAATGGTTCAGATGTCTGAATGGTTAAAAGATTTGCCTCTGAATGGTTAAGTATTATACAGAGCCTGAATGGCTAAGACCTCTTATCTGAATTGATCAGACATTTGCCTCTGAATAGTTAAGTAATATACTAGCTCTTAATGGTTCAGACCTCTTACTGGTTTAGCACTTAATGGCTCAGACCTCTTACTGGTTCAGCACTTACCTATTCAGAAGTTGCCAAACAGCCCCTAAATGTCCATTATTACTGGACATTATTCCTTCCATAAGGTCATTATTAAGTTTTATTTAAGGAATAAAAAAATTTAAGTCCAACATTAAGAAAGTCATTATGTTTTAGTCCTATTTAGTGCAAATTTCACAAATAAATAAGGTAAAAAAACATAATTTAGAAATCCAGAATAATATTTCCTATTAATAAAGAAACTAACTAATACACACAAATATTACTCCAACTAGGATTAGGATTATGAATTAGTCCCTAATCCGTATACGTTATGGAAAAGGAAGGAAAATTTTAGGATACAATGCTCCTATATATATGGCTCTATGACTATCAAAGAAAAAAATCAAATAAATTACTCCAATCAATTGCATTCTCGATCAACACAACAATAATGGCTTCGGCTTCTTCTGCTCCCCATCCAGCAACAGCGACGACAGTGAGCTTGAAACTCCTGATCAACAAGGAGACCCAAAAGGTGGTTTTCGCCGAAGCCGGAAAACCGTTCGTGGATTTCCTGTACGACCTCATGTCCTTGCCGCTGGGCACCGTCGCCAAACTGGTGTCCCACAAAGCATCCCAGGCGGAGTCCTTCGGGAATCTCTACGACAGCATCGCCGGCCTCTGCGGCACTTCCCAAATTATTAGGCCCAGGGTTTACGTGTGCGGCGGCTTGTTCGACGGCAACTGCGACGACTACCCTTGGTACACCGACAACCCCAACACTCCCTGTCCCAACTGCGGCTCCTACTGCTTGGACGTCCTGGCCGAATACCTTGCACCGCCGGAGGACGCGGCGCCGGCGGTGGTGGCGGGATGGGAGACTTACATGGTGACGGATGACTTGAAGGTGGCTCCCCACTCGACCATATCTACCATTGTTGCGCTCAATGAGAATGGGCTCAAGGATTTTGGTTGCGTGGAGGTCAAAGTCGTCCAGTTGGGGTTTGACGAGGTACTTAAGCTGTTGAAGGCCGCTCTCAAAACGGATTCTGTTCTTACGTCCGTCTTTCTTTCCAACTCGGCCCAAATTTGAAGGATTTTTGTTCTTTTTTTTACACCTAGCATCTTACTTTTCTTGTCTCTTACAGATATTTTTATTTAACCTTTTAAGAAATTTAAGATAAGAATATTTTTCATTTTTGTATTGACTTTCTAAAAATACATTTGATGTGATGAATAAATTATTACAGAGTAGTAAAAAAATATTTTGTGATATCACTGATATGCATGCTTTGGAAGAGTAACACATTCATGTCAAAGATCAATTCTACCCTAATTATTGATATGTGTTTCCTTCTCTAAAAAATTACTGGTATTCATGTAAGTTGATTCAACAAATTTTAAGTTTTAGCTATCAAACTGTAAAGAAAAAAAGTTTATTGAATGAAACTGGTAGGGTCTTGTTTTTGTCTTTTTTATTTCTTCCTATTGTGTCTACTCGAATTATCAAACTTTACATGAAGTACTCTCCATTCTAAATTCTAGTTAACACTTTTCAACTATTCTATTCTTCACATTACTTAAGAAGAATCCTTTCCTATAGTACGGAGTATAGGGATCAGAGAGATTGATACGTGAAACTGTTTTCATGGAGTTTTTCTGACGAGTCAATGATGACTACACACATTAATTGAATCTAAAATCATTTTTAAAAAAGACTACATATATGGAACTAAGAAAATTTATTACTCCCTCCGTCCCTAAATATTCACAACATTTGCTTTTTCAGCAGTGTCAGAAACTTTTGTTTATTTCGACGTTTTCATTGATTATTTGATAAAATAAAATATTCTTGACACCTCTTATTTCGAAGAACTTTTCATGTAGTTTTTTTATATGTAAATTTTATTTTTTATTTTTTTACCAATATATAATTAAAATGAATTGAAAAAACTTGATATTTTGCCTCAGGAATACAAATGTGGCAAATAATTTGGGACGGAGAGAGTAGTTGTTTGGTTTACCTTTAAAATTTATTTTTTCATTTTTACCTAGGGGTGAGCATCGGTTCGGTTCGGCCTGTTTCAGCCCAAAACCGAAATAACCGAAAATTAAAAGTACTCGTAATAACCAACCGAACCGAACTGAATTAAAGCGAGAATTGAACAAACCAAACCGACAAAAAACCGACTGGTTCGGTCGGTTTGAAAAAACCGAATTTTTCATCCTAGAAACCTACTTCCTACTGCCAAATGCAAATATTGAAAAATGAAATTTGAAAAAACTTCAAATTCAATTAGCCATGGCTAATTAGCATCTCAAAGCATTCAATTAGTCGAGGCTAATTAGCATCAATAATTCAACTATTATGATCAATTACTGGTGACTACCTTTTGATGATCGTCGGCCATGGCTAGTAATGCATCTCAAAGAATAATAATTAGCAACAAAAAAGAATGAAGAAACCCGATGATTGCCGATTGGTGACACCGGAACAGAGATGGTGATTTCCGATTAGATCTTGGCGTCGGTTTGAGAACGCCGGAACCGGGAGATTGGGAGATGGTGATTGCCGGTGAGGACCGAGAACAACACTACAGATTTGGGACTTGCTGGCTGCGGCTGACTTGGGAAATTGCCCAGAACCGAAACTGAAACCGATAACCGAATTAACCGAAAATTTTTAGACATTAAAACCGAAAACCTAAACCGAATTTAAAATTACGGTTGGTTCGGTTAAATTGTATCGGTTATTCGGTCGGTTCGGTTAAATTGCTCACCCCTATTTTTACCTATATTTAGCTTTAAATCAATTTCAAGGAAAAAAAATCTAAGAATTAAATTCCCTAAAACACTTCCATTTTCTATTAAAAAACCACTTTTACCCTTACTTTTTCATACCATACGTATCACATCATATTTTTTCTCTAATAATCAATCAACTTTCCTTATTTTTGCCCAAAGTCAAAAGTGGAAGAGTTTAAAAGAACAGAAGGAGTAGTTAACTCTTGCCTCTATCTCGGATCGACTTGAACTTACCATGTCTACGGGTTAGTTTAGTTTTATTATTTAGTGTTAAAACGACACACACCAATTTTTTAGCGTCGTTGCCGGGGAGGGCAAAGTAGATTAGTTTAGAAGTATTTGTTTTCCGTCTTTTTTTAATTTTATTATTCTATCTTTATTTATTTTTTTATCTTATTAGTGCATATTGATTTTTTCTAATAATTTTTTCTGCGGTGCATGACTAGAAGAACCTAACATATATCTCTTGAAGCATCATTTGATCCTGAAATTGAATATACTTGCAAAAGACAGAATACACAAATAAACAAAGCAAATGGACCAGAGATTATACACATGGAGAATCAAAACAATGAAAATATTGGAAATCTTGAGGATAATCGAAACATCGTGAACAATCAGAACCATACCATTAGGAATTTTGGCTACACCAAACCTTGACCATCAACCACTTTGCATTCAATATCTATTCAAGGACAAAAGTAGTACTCCGTATATAAGAAAAAATAAGGTGGTTGAACAAAGTGATTAGAGTTTACTCTCATCATCTCTTGTAATTAATTAGAGAGAGAAGAAGATAGGCGGATCTAACTTTTCCTAAAAAAAACAAATGTTACTATATAAGAAAAGTCATTATGTTTTAGTGTCATTTAAGTAAATTTTTCATAGAAAAACTCATATTTATATGGATGTCCAAAGCAAGGCGAATAGTCAAAGTTAAACAACGCTTCAACTTTCAAGAAGATCTATGGTGAAACAGCATCAATTTGTGTGAGAGAATGTGGGGATCAACTCCATTCACATGCGTCGATAAACCATTGAATTTTATAACTGCATTGAATTTTGATCGGCGGAAAGCCAATGGTCGTAAATCTACTCCCTGAGCCGGCAGCCGATCGACCGATCGAGTATCTTTACCTGTCTCTCGATTGCTCCATCCCATATATATTCGCATCTATCAATATATAACAAAAAAACGAAAGCAAAGAAAAAAAAAACATAAAGAAAATCTCATCCAATAATCATCGATCTCTCCAGCAAAAAATGGCATCTCCGGCTTCATCACCCACACCCATGACGCTGAAGCTCCTGATCAACAGGAAGGCCCAGAAGGTGGTATTCGCCGAAGCAGAGAAACCATTTGTGGATTTCTTTGTTGTGCCTCATGTCCTTGCCGCTGGGCACCGTCACCAAGCTTGTAACCCAGAAATCCATGGTCGGCGCCGTTGGGAATCTCTACGGCAGTATTGCCGACCTCGGCGACACGTACATGCAACCTGGTATCAACAAGAATACCTTCTTGAATCCGAAAGTGTCAATTACGTCCTCCGACGTGCCACTCCTCATGCCTGCTGCCTCTCCCGCCGGCACGTCGGGGTCCAGGAAGGTTTACATTTGCTCTAACTACCAAAAAATTAACACTTATAATCGTAAGGGGTGGTGGTTTGATCTTTACTTACTGCACTAGTGCCTGTTACTCCGATGACCCAACAGCGAAATGTATTTACTGCAGCGGCAACATGACCGTTTCGGCTACATATGTTGCTCCTCCGGCGAAGGCGGAGGTGTCTACCACCACTGGCGGCGAGGGAGGAGGGTTTGTGAGGGGCGTTGTGAGTTACATGGTGATGGATGACTTGAAGGTGATTCCACAATCTGCCATTTCAACCCTCAATGACAGCAACATTACGGACTTTAGATCCCTTGAGGTCAAGGTTGTTTCTTTGGATAACAACGTGGTACGTCCTTTTGTAAACAAAGATAATTACTCCCTTTCTCCTAAAATTAACTTTCCATTTTGTTTTTTTTATAATCAAGCTAAAAATTACATTGAATTTGCATATAAGACTGTAAAAGTCCAATGATGATAGAATTTAGAATTGGATAGAGATAATTGAATTGGGCCATAAGACACTTGGGTTGAATCACATTAAAAGATTGAATTCAACTGATTAGTTAATTCAACTCAAGAGCTTATATACCGATTATTTTACTTTTAAACTTCCGATGTGGGATGTACTCTAACACCCCCTCAAGTGGACAATCGAGTCATTTTGAATCTAACCGGTTGACCACGAGCTACTGGGTATGGACTTCCAGACGAGCAATCGTGTTAAATAGGCCACAAGTCGTTGGGTACATACTCTATACGGACAACTGGGCTAGAGACTAACGAGCCGCTAGAAATGAACGTCTAGATGGACACCTTGACAAATGAGGTAGACTAAAATTAGTTTTGATATCATGATAGAATTTAGTATTCGGTAGAGATAACTGGATTGAGCTATAAGACACTTGGGCTGAACCATGTTAAAAGATTGAATTCAATCGATTAGTTAGTTCAACTGAAGAGCTTATATGCCGATTATTTTACTCTTCAACTTCTGATGTGGGATGCACTCTAACAAATGAGAAGCTAATTTTAAGATAGGTACATAAAATTGATCTGATCTCTGGGTACTAAATTTAGTTTGCTGATCTCCTTTTTTCATACAAGGTTGAATCTCTAAGCATGAATAGGGAGCATTGGCTCTCTGTCTCATTATTCATTTTGTTACACTTTGTTTGTTGGCACACAGGGATTGAAGTTGTTGAAGGCTGCTTTAGTGACCAATTCAGTTCTCACAACTGTCTTTCTCAAAAAGTCGTCGTAATCTTGAATCATACGAAGTATCATGTTTTGGGAATGGCTTTTAGTCAAGTTTTTTTCTTAATCCAAGTACGTGTTTTGTTCTGTGCATGCACCATCCTTTATGATGGAAGCTGTACGTGCACATCTTTTATGTTGTATTCATGTTTTTGAAGAATCTTGGTTTTCGAAAATTTTGTTTTGCCCTTTGCTAATCATATCATTTTTCAAATTCAAATTAGAGAATTTCCTAAATAAGAGTAAAAATTTATGAAAATATCAAAATAAGAGTCACAAGACTTTTAATACCAAAATATGAGTTCACACTGTCATTGCTACACTGCCACACTCACGACATTGTCACATTGTGATTGTCACACTATCACCATGTTGGGGAAGCACGGAACAAAACACAACGAAAGCGTATAAAATCTTTTCCCCAAATTAATGAGATGAACAACAAAGTACAATATACTCCAAAAATCAGCACCACCACCACAAATAGATAGCAACGGAAATAAAATAAAGAACACACGATTTACGTGGAAACTCCAAATTGGGGAGAAAACCACGGTCGCTCAACAACGGCACCCAAACTTCCACTAATCACCAAGAACCAAGTGGGTACAACAAGTTCTCCTCTCTAGTAAACACTAGAGGCATACACAATCATCAAGGAGCAACCTTGGAACAACAACAATCAACAATTCAACATAAAATGGAATAAAAACTCCCAAAAACGGAGGTCTGAAAATGCAGCTAGAAAACAGCCTTCCGGGCATCAAAATGAGAATCTGACCGTTGGATTTGAAGAGGAGTATGTGAGGAACAACATACTAAAATTTGAGCACGATCGAACTTCGTTAGGCCTTCGATCCGGACTGAAAACGGGGCTGCTGCACAGTGTGGCGGAAATCCTGTTTTTTTTCTTCTTTTCTCCTGCGTATTGGCTACTGCCACTGCCCTCTCACCTCTTCTTTTTGCTTTTTACTCCCCTTATCCCTTTCTCTCTCTTTTTTTTATTTATTTATATATGGGCCACCATAAAATATTTGGGCTAAAGCTTTACACAAAAAAATAAGCCCAACTATAAAAGAGAGATATAAAGTGTTGTCCAATTAAAATTGAACACTTCCTCCATGTAGGAGGGAAATTTCCCAACAAATCTTCCCCTCACTCCTACATGGAGTGAGCAAACAAACCGGCTTTCTCTCGACAAAACACGAGTTTCTCCTTCGGCAATGTCTTGGTCAACATATCCGAGCAATTCTCACTTGTATGAATCTTCACAAGTTCAAAAGACTTGTCCTCCACGGCTTCTCGAATCCAATGATACCTTCTCTTAATGTGTTTGGTTCGAGAATGATAGGCGGCATTCTTGGCAAGGTGGATGGCACTTTGTGAATCACAATGAAGAAGATAATTTTCTTGTTCCAAACCAAGCTCCTCAAGAAAATTCCTCATCCATAACAACTCCTTGCCTGCCTCAACAGCGGCTATATACTCTGCCTCAGTAGTGGACAAAGCAACACACTTCTGCAATCTTGATTGCCATGAAACTGCAGCTCCAGCAAATGTCATCAAGTATCCCGAGGTAGACTTTGCAGTATCAACATCTCCAGACATATCTGCATCTGTGTACCCATCTAACACAGGCTGTCCAATACCAAAACATAAACAAACTCTGGAGGTACCTCTAAGATATCTGAGAATCCATTTCACGGCTGCCCAGTGCTCTTTACCCGGATTCGACATGTAGCGGCTAACAACCCCAACTGAATGTGCAATATCTGGCCTCGTACATACCATGGCATACATCAAACTACCCACGGCTGAAGCATAAGGCACCTTGTTCATCTCTTGCTTTTCTTTCTCACTTGTAGGGCAATGGTCCATACTCAACTTCATGTGGCCTGCAAGTGGAGAGCTCACGGGTTTAGCATTGCTCATGTTGAATCTACCAAGCACCTTCTCAATGTATCTCTCTTGGGATAGCCAAAGTTTCTTGTTCTTTCTATCCCGCGTGATCCTCATGGCTAAAATCTCTTTAGCAGGGCCTAAGTCCTTCATTGCAAAGGACTTACTCAATGACTTCTTCAAGCTAGCAATCTTCTTGGTGTCCTGGCCAACAAT